CCGCCCGCTGTGGCTCGGGAAGGCTGGAGGGGCTGCCCGGCCTCCCCGCTGCCGTTATCCCCCGTTATCCATTATCCACGTCCCTGCGCCATCGGTCACCGCAGACCCTGGAGGCATCGCCGCTGGCGGCCACAGCATCCCCGGCTCCGCGGAGGAGCCAGGCTGGCCCTGCCGGTATCGGCAAAGGGCACAGAGATGGGAATTCTAGGGTCTCCTGTCAGGCTTAGGGACAGGCAGGGACACCCCTGTGCCCTCCCCCAGCCTGCCCTGGCTCCTGTCAGCCCCACTTCCAGGGGGTGATGTGGTGGGGCAGGGATGCAGCGCAGGGGATGGGGTGCAGGCAGGGTCCCTGCCTGTCTGCTCAGGGCTTCTCCTGGCAGGCGGGGACATGGTGAGGTGCAGGATGAGGGGGTCACTTGCACTGTCCCCGGGTCAAGCCCTCAGGAGCCATCTGAGTCCACATGGGTCACTCTGTGGGTCCCTGCAGGACCAGGGAGGCTCAACACCACAAATCTCCCCCTCTGGAGCCTCCACCAGCCCAGTGAGAGATGGACAGGCAGCTATTCCCTGTGGGTATGGCAGGCACCGTGCCCATGACAACACAGGCTCCACTTCAACAGCCACATCCCCCCTGTGCATCACAGAGGGGCTGGGGATGGGGATGGGGCTGCTCCATCCTGCCCCATCACCCTGAGACCCCCTTCACGCACCCACTGCCCATCTCCTCGCCTGCCCCAGGGCACAGGGGCCAGATCCAGCCTCTCCCCTCTTGCAACGTGGGCACAAACACTCGCAGCCTGCTCTGCTCACCACCAGTATCCGTCTGCCACCCCGCCACAGCACCAGGCACCCCTGCCAGCACACAGTCCTGCATGAGGCAGCCCGGCTGCTGGGAGTGACTGGGACAACTCAGAGCAAGGCTGAGCCCTGCGGCGCTTGGGACATGAGCCCCACATGGGGACATGAGCCCCTCATGGGGACATCTACCCCGACCGTGGCACGTCCCAGCCTTGGAAACTCTATGCGAGATGGGGTTAACAGCAACAAAACAGGGTTAATGCCAACCAGGAGCTGCAGTGAAGCCACCCCAAGCCAGACACACCTTCCCATGGAGCAGCAGCTGGTGGTGTGGCTGTGCCCACCCTCTGCCAGCCATGGGGACACGGCATAGGTTAGGGGTCTGATGCTCACCACGCTGCAGACTCCTCGGGGCTTGTAGCCAGGATGCTCAAGAGGAGGTTGGTGCCAACCCCAGCCCCTCCATGGACCCAGCCACGTCCTCTGTGCCAGCAGGACACGACTCCCACCTGTGGCACCTCCACAGTTCCCCGCAGAGGGGCTGCAGTGTCCTCCCCCCACTGCTGACCCGCTCCTGTTGATGCCACTGAAGTGCTTTCGTGGCCAACCCATGTGCCCAGACTGTCAGATTAGAGCTGGGCAGGAGGCACAGTGCTGGCTGCGGGGTGGGTTCAGCCATCCTGGCAGCCCTCCACAAACCATGGGCCTTTGCCGAGCTGCTGATGCAGTGCTCCCAGTGTCTCCCACTCCTGCTTCTAACTGGAACCAGCAGCAGCCCATGATGAGCCCAGGCACCAGCCAGGGTAAGGAGACCATTTAGGGCAGCATCTCTGCTGCTCAGGACAGAGGGCAAGAGGGAAGCACCAGAGCTTGGCCACGACCCCCAGTCCCACGAGCAGCGCTGCCCATCCTGTCCATAGTCGTGCTGCCCCATCCCTGCCTCACCAACCTCCCCAGTCCTGGGACAGGGGCCGAGCTGTGGCTTTGGTGACGGCAGGACAGCCCCAACACTGCTCCATCCAGCCAGGTCCTCCTTGGGATAAGCAGCCCCAGGGCCTCCTCTCTTTCCCTTTCTTCCCCCACAACTTTCGCACGGCGGGGACGAGCTGTGCTGTCCCCGTCCCAACCCCTGCGTCTCCCAGCATGACTCATGTTTGTTGACCCAGGCTATTTCCGAGAGCACAGCTGGGCTGATCCCCACGGGGCATCGAGCCCCTTCCCTGCCCCAGCCCTCCTACTCGGCCCAATGCCACCCCCACACCGCCATCCCCAGGGGAGGGGGCAACCGACGGGTGATTTCGGGTACGAACAAGCCACCGGCGAAGCCCCGTCTCCCCTCCTGTGCCCGACACAGTGCCACCCCCCCTTGCAGCGTCCCCTCCCCAGCAGATTTCCGTGCTGCTCCCCGTTCCCCAGGGACCTGCCCTCAGCTGCTTTCCCACGGAGCAGGCAGCCACGCCGGGCCCTTTGAAGTGGCCTTGGGTCGAGGGCTGTCCCCAAGGTGTGACACTGTCCCCAGCACAGTGGTGACAGCAGCCAGACGGGGGGGTCCCCACCAGGAACACACAGGGGCACCCCCATCCCGAACGGTCCCCACTGCCCTGGGCATCCCTGCAGCCCGGCCAAGGTGGGTGCTGGGGGGTGTGGGGTCTGGGGGTGCCTGCCCCCCTTCCATCTTCCTGGTCCTGCTCACCTGGGAGCATCTCAGGGCAGCCCAGGCCTCCATCCTCCCCTGCCTGGCAACTGCCAATCAGAGGTGGCTCAGCCGTTGCCCTGGAAACCCCCGTTGCCATAACAGCAGCTGATGGAGGCACAGGGGAGGCAGATGGTGGCAGAGGGGGACAGCCACGGCTGGCAGGGAGGAACAGGGGGCTGCACACTCAGAGCCCTCCCTGGAGTGAGTGTGTGACCCCCTCCCTGCAGCCCCCCCTCAGGGCTACAGCGTGGAGGGCAGCAGGATGGAAATGCTTCCAGCCCAGTTGGGACTGGACATACAGCTGGGGGGTGGCCGCTGGTTTTGCCACCTCCTCAGGACCCCCTCTCACTTTGTCCCACCTTCTCGTGCAACCACTGTGCCCCAGGACCATCACCCACCTCACTGCCTTCAACCCCAAGCTGTGATCCCTGTACCTGCACCCCGCCACCAAAAGCAGAGCTGCCAGGCATCTCCCATCCCAGGCATCACCCCAGGACAACCCTCCCAGCCCAGGCGCCTGGCCCCAAGAGGTCCAACATTGGGTGAGAAGATGCCCAAAAAGCTCCAGCGTGTACCTGGATCTGCCCTTTGCCCATGATCTTGTCCACAATTTCGTTGTTGTCCTTGTTGAGCTTGGTCTTGTCGTAGCACTTCTCATAGCAGAGGATGCGCAGGGACTGGGAACCCTCCAGCTCGATCTCAAACTCCTGGAGTGTGGAGGGAGGGTGGCTCAGCCCCAGAGCAGCTTCAAAGCTGGGGTTGGAAGGGAAAGGGAGCGTCACAGTCCCCTCCCTGTGTCCCATCTTCCTCTCACCTCATTCCACTGTGGTTCGGTGGTGTCCCGAAAAACCCTGGTCTTGGCTTTGCTGACAAAGTAGCCAAAGGAGTCCACCTCCAGCGTGCAGTAGAGGTCTGGGGGAGCAGACACCACTCAGTGCATAAGGAACATCCCCACCAGCTCCCGGGGGACCTCTGCGGGCAGAGCGGGGCCACATGCTGGACCCCAGCTCCCCCCACCTGGCACCAGTCCCTCCGGGCAAGGATGGGCACCCACACTTACTGGCAGACTGCTTGAAGCCCTTGGCAGAGTGGACGATGACGTGCAGGAACCCGTAGAGCCCGGGGGACTCATCATCTGTGTCGGGGAGAGCAGGGGCTGTGTCAGGGCTCAGCTGCCACCTCCAGTGTCCCAGGGCCAGCATTCAGGCTGGCCATCCCTGAGGCAGCCTTTGCCACAGTGAGCAGTAGGTGCTTGTGGTGACACCCCAATGTCCCCACACCCCCCTGGAGGGCGAGGTCTGGAAGAGGATATATATCCCCCACTACCAATCACCCCTGATGGACATCCCAAGCTCTCCTGCTGCTGGACGGTCCTGGGGGAGGTTCCCAGTAGGGCTGGCTGGGTCTCACCCTGGGGACACCCCATGGGGGTGGTGGAGAAACCCCCAAAGCAGCCCCACGTTGCAGCCGGGATTGCTCTGCCTGGGAGCCCGACTCTGCTCCAGCAGTGCCACCTGGTGGGTGTCTGTCCCCCTGCACAGCCAGAGTCCCCGAGCAGGGACCCTGCTCCAGCTGAGAGACCCCACAGCTCCTCCCTGGCATCATCTGGACTCAAAGAGGGACCCGCCAGCCCAGTGGACACTCACCGTCCTTATTGCTGGTGACCGGGATGTTGTGGACGGTGCGTAGCTTGAAGCAGGATCCTGTGAGCACCTGTAGCTCCACCGAGCTCAGGACGAAGGCCTGGAGGTCTGGGAGAGAACAGGAGAGGAGCTTCAGAGGGATGCAGCCAGTGCTGGCCATGGGGACCAGAGAGCAGCAGGCTTCTTGTGGCCCCTGGGTGGGGGCAGGAGCCCTAAGATGGCCTCAGCAGTCCCAAACTTACCCTTTTTCTGCAGTTTCTGAATGGCCTCCCTCCACTCGGACCTCTCATAGTCGGACGAGAGCAGGAAGAGGTAGCTCTGTAAGAGAGAGGGGGATGCAGCGGTCTGTGTGCAGGCAGGGCTGAGCCCGGCCCCCAGCCCACCCTCCTCACCTTCCCGTTGCGGTTGTGGATGCGGAAGGGGATGGCAGGCGAGTTGAGGAGCAGCCAGAATTCATTCTCAAACATCTTCTTCTTGAGGCGCTCGATGGCTCGGCTCTGCCCCTTGTTGGCTTTCTGCAGGCGAGGAGCAGGCAAGAGCTTTCACAGGTCCCATCCCTGACCCAGAGGAAGGCACCCACCCCAGCAGAAGGTCCCACCCCTTCCCCACCACCCACACTCTTTTCTCACCTCCTTCTGCACCTCGCTCTTGATGGCTGAGATCTTCATCTTCATATCCTCCAGCTCGTGGTCAGGGATGACGTGGACCTGTGGGCAGTGCTCCGACTCCTCCGGCGAGGGGAACACCAGGTCGGCCAGGGGCACGTACCACTTGCAGTCATACTGCTGGTGCTTCCTGCAGCCAGGGCGTGGGCACTGAGTGATGCCTGACCCCCCCTCCTGGCACATCCCCCAGCCCACTAAAGGACTGGGGGGGTTGTGACACCTTCTCCCCATCCCCAGCATCCTCCTTACCCCACCGCCGTCTTCTTCAGCTTGGCGCAGAGCAGCACGTCGGTGAAGAGGAAGACATGCCGCAGCTTCCGTGAGCCCTCTGACAGCTCCACCAAGAAACCATCCTTGACAAGCTGCCGGGTCTGTGGGGCAGCAGGGCTGGTGTGAGAGCAGGCAGAGAGCAAAAGCCAACAAACTGCAGGGCACAGATGCTCCTGTCCCTCTCAACAGCTCAGCCACCAGGAGCATGGGAAGGTCCATGTCCTCTGGGTGCTATTTTGAGTCCCATATGCTCAGAAGGGTGCCAGGAAGCAGCAAGGACCAGGTAGAGCCCTATTCTTGCACCCAGGACTGCATCTGGAGAAAACCCTCCACCTCCTGGCCAAGCACCATGAAGCTTCTCAGGGTGAAGACACCAGCTAGTAGGCTGGTAGAGAACTCAGCCCTCACCCTGTGCCCAGGCACTGCCCACCCCGCTGGCTCACCTCCCCCTTGGGGGTGGTGACTGCTGTCCTCCGGGGATCGATGTCCTCATTGATGCTGGAGAGGAAGTTCTGTGAGATGCGGAGGGCGTCCTGGAGCAGCGGGTAGTCGGGGTGGTCAGCTGGGGTGTGCTTGAGGAGGTCCTGGAAGGGGACAGGAGCAGGTGAGCAGCCCAAGGGCACTGCCCTGCCTGCAGCATCCACCCCAGAGACCCTCCAGCAGTGCTCCCCAGGGCTGTGGGTCCCCAGGAGCAACTTGGGCAGAGCCCCCCTGCCCCAGGACTGGTGTCACACTCACGTGCAGGACGAGGGTGCTCCGTGTCACCCGGTCGATGGGTTTGTACAGGAGCGCTGCAGGGAGAGAGGGGGCATCAAAGTCACCCTCTGCCAGGGATCTGGGTCTTCTCCCACCCACAAGAACCAGCATTGCATCCCATGGGGACAAGGAGGGGAGACCAGATGCCCAGCAGCACGGGCAGCCACAGGGTCCCCGCTGGGGTCACAAGCCCAGGCGACTGCACTTGCCACGTGGCACTTCCCACACGGCCATCCACTCCAGGCATGACCCCACGCCAGCAAGATCTGTCCCTGCCCCAAGACAGGGCATGATGGGGACACCAACCCAGCCACCATGTCCTCCGTCTCTCTGTTGCCACAGGTGGCAAAGCTGGAGGGCAGTGGGACGTCCCCACAGCCACTGTGCTAGCACGTCCCCCTCCAGGGTGGAGGACCTCCCCGGCTGTGGTGCAGGCACTGACAGCTCGCCTTGTGGTGGCTGTGGAGCGGAAGAGCCGCTCGTCACCCCCAGCAGCTTTTTCAGTTTCCCTTTTGGCTCAGCAGCAGGTCCCATCCCTGCCCTCGCTGGGCTCTGCCACCCCATGGGACACCCCATCTCCCCCTGCCCCAGCCAGACAGGGGTACAAGGGGAACCCAGGCTCCTCCAGCAGCAGCAAAACCCCCACCTGCAGAGAACGTAGGGACCAGGGCATCACCTCAATGTTTCTGCCCCGTGTTCCCTCCCTGCAGCCCCCCATCACTGCATGTGAGGCAGGGGGGCAGAGCTGCCCCACATACAGGGCACAAACACCCCTTTTCTCCTCCTGCACATCTTCCCAGCAGGAAACCAGCCCCCAGGGCTCTTCAGAGGCACATTTCACCCCAAGCAGCTGGACCCTCCTCCTCCTCCTCCCTGGCTCTTTGGGCAGGTGAAGGCACAGAGCCCACAGTGCTGCTCCCCATGCCCAGCTGCTTGCGTGTCTCCCCGGGCTGCTCACAGCCAGGCTGATGCCTCTGGGTTTTCACTTCGCTTCGAACCACTTCCCCAAACTGCCAGGGCCAAGGGGGCTGGGCTTTGGGCTGCAGGAGAGGGGAAGGAAAGGTGCTGCCTGTTGTCCCCCCCAACAACATGAGCTCCAGTCCCCTTTTCCCCAGACAGTGCTGCCTCGTGGCATCCGCTCCTGAGAGAGGGACCCCCATCCCAACGACCATCCTCATCCCCATCCTCACCTCTCTGCTCGGGGGGTGAGGATATGGGACTGGACCCTGAACCGGAGACTGTATCCCCCTAAAATCAAAGCCCTGCTCCCTGTGGGAGCCAGCGAGAGCCCTGCTTTGGGAGAGAGGGGGCAGACAAAGTGTCTCCCCCTCTCCCCTACCCCGGACCCACACAGAGGATGGACTTTCATCACTACAGGCACATGCAAAGCACCAGAGAGCCACAGGAGGGGCTGTCCTGCCACAGTCCCACCAGCCCGGGACCCACACGCAGGCAGGACGGGGCCAGGCACCAGCAGGCAGGGATGCCCATTCCCTCTCCTCCCCAGCCACAGAGAGAAGGACATTCCAGCCCCAGGATCACAACCTCCAGAGAGCAAACGAGGACCCCTCCCTATCGCCATCCCCGTGGCACAACCCACGTATGGGGGGTCCCTCACCCACCCCAGCCCCTCGCCATCCCACCGCCGGCACGAGCCCCTGCCCGGGTGGGGAACGCGAGCGCGTGGCTGCATGTGCCGGAGCCAAGATGATTCAATAGAGCCTGGAACAAAGACGCTCCCAACTTCAGCCTGCAGAGCACGACGCAGCCTCCACCCCCCTGGCAAGGACAGCCAGCCCCGGGCCAGCATCCCCTCAGCATCGCTCCCCACCATCACCCGAATTGGGTGCTGCCACCCCCCCCCCCCCCCCCCCCCCCCCCCCCCCCCCTTTTTTTTTAATTTATGGTTGCCTGAATACAGAGAACCTGAAGATGATGAATCTGATGATGGCTATATGAACAAAGAACATAACTAAATTAGAAAGCTAGAATTGTTCCCTTTGCAGTTAGGCTGGGATTATTAAAATAACTTGCAGAGTTTAC